GTTCAAAACATTACATAGTTCTTGATATATCATATTTCACACTTTGATTCAAGTGGGTTATGAACTCCCATTTTTACCCCGTATACAGATTGCAGAATCACATCAGTTACACATCCATTGATTTACATATTGCCATACTAGTGTCTGATATGGCGCTGAGTTTCAAACCCATGACCTTGCATGTGCTAGGTGAGCACTCTACCGCTGAGCCACAATCCCAGCCCAGATTTTGTGTTTTAAACCTTGAGAAAACATTAACATATAATAGTCGGGAATTTCTCAAACGTATAAAAAATCCATATGCCAGAAAAGAAACTTGAAAGCAAATTTCCCTACTAAGTAATCTTTCCTATATATCTGAAACAACATTTGACATTAAATTTAATAAGATTCTAAAATTAAGATTTATACACTTCTTCCTTATTCCTAAACAACATATATGACTAGAAATAATTTTTCTGACATCCTGAATTTTACATACTGATTCTTTTAAAATTATATCATTGTTTCTTATTATTTATCATATAGATATTTCCCATAAATATTTGAGTAAGACTTAGTCCTTCTATTACAGGTATTATTAACCATAAGTGTGAAAAGATATTGGCAAAGCTTCATTTTAAGATAACATTTTTACAAAGACATTTGAGCATTTTTGGAGGAAAGTTAGTTGTTTTACCTAACCATTCAGGTCTTGAGTGGTTTTCTTTCACAAGAAGATGACAAAAAGTTTTAGTAAATCAGATTATTTTTCAATTTTTACAAATATAAACATGTATGAATGTTTACAAATATAAAATATAAACTGAATAATTGTATTTTCTCTTTTATTGGGAATACTTTTACTATAAGAACACATATCCAAATTGAATTCTTGTCTTTAATGTACTTGAGTCATTTTAATTGCTTTTTTAAAAAAAATTATCAAATGTATGATGTGATAGGAATTTATCAGCATTATAAACCTATTATTTAAAATGTATTTATCAATATTTGTCTAATTTCACAAATGATAGAAACTAATATAAATGAAGTAGGGGTTGGGATTTTCATTTGAAACAGAAATCAATATAGGATTGGCTTAAAATATATAATTGTGTCTTTTGTGGAAGTGTCCTGTCCAAGACCAAGATTCATACACATTTTTAGAGAGGAAAAAATAAAGATGTTTTCATGATAACTCTGGCACCACTTCCTTCTTACAGACAGATCTCATGATATATTTAACATAGACATATATTTAATATATACTCATTAATATCTATTCCTGTACACCTATTTATTCAAAGACATTACACAAAGTGCTGAAAATATTGATAGGCAATTGTGAAAATCAGGGATAATCTAGAGTAGCTAAAATAGTATCTAACTAAAAATTGCTTTGTATTTAATTTTTTTGTTATCATTTTCTCATTCTTGAAATCGAGTTTTTGTCCACCCACCAGTTAGGATTTATAACTTTCAAGATTCAACAGTATGTCATGTTTGGTTTTCTTTTCTCTCCTTTTTTAAATCCCTTTTTTGTTTGTTTGTTTTTTAGCCTTTATTCCTGACTGAACTGGGAACTCTAAGAAGTAGAGAAATCCTATAGTATCCATGAGGGATTGGCTCCAGCAAAATATATCAAAATCTATGAGTGTTCAATTCTCTCATATAAAATGGTATAATAATCTGTGCACATTCTTCTGTACAGTTTTATATATAGATTCCCTATTATGCTTATTAAAACAAATATCATATCAATATGTTTTAGTATATAATTTATGGAAAGATGGCAATTAAAAAGTCTGTACATGTTCAGTCTAGAAGCAACTTTTTTTCCCCTAATCCTCAGTTGGTTCAATAAACAGATATGGGACCCACAGATACAGAGGGCTGCCTGTATATAATAATACAAATAATATATCGATACCATGCACATACCCATATATATCCCAGCCCTATATATTACAGGAACTACATGTATTAACTTTCATAAAAATGTTATAACATAGGTGTTGCCATTATCTTTACTTTTCAGGTTGATATATTATGTCTTGGAAAAGTTAACTTTAAAAATTTTTGTATCTGAAATGTGGTCCAAAATTTTGTATTGTCTTTTTTTCAAAAAGATTGCCCAAATAGAGGCTTAAAGAGCTTATAAAATTCTAGACTATGTTATTAACATATTACCTGGATTCCTTCATATGCTTGAAGTACTTTCTTAGACTCTATACTGAAAATTAAAAATTGTTTATCTACTGTAGGCTTTAATAAACTCCCTAGATAGTAAACATAAAAGGGCAGAAGTTTACCTTCTCCATTGTATTATAATAAATGACTTTCAATAGTGTCAATGCCCATGATTATGCATAACAATATTTATTGAATGAATTGATAAATGGATATGTAATTAAGATATTTAAAAGGAAATGTGATATTGAAAACATTCCACACTCTGTTGCTTTCTGGGTCCAGAAATTTGGTTCAAATGTCAAAAATCACTTGGGTTTAGTGTGCTGAAAATATCAGACTGACTACTAAGTAAGCTGACACTATGAAACTTACACATAAACAATAATGGGTCTACATGGATAACTGCGTGGCTGAATTGAAATGATTTTATATCATGCTTATTTTTGTTCAAGGTTCTCTTTCTCTTTTTAAAACCAGATGTTAAATTTAATAATATTTCCATTTTAAAAGCAAATAAATATGGATGTCAATATTCTGTAGTAACAAATGATTTCAAGACATTTGGATAGAAATAAAATGAACCATATTCAAATAATTTAAAAACAATATTTCATGAATTACATTGTTACCTTGAACAATTCTAGAATGATAATAGTTTAAAGATGTTCCACACCACATCCTTTGTCAGCTTACATTTTTTTAAATATTCTTTCAACATTATGCATTGAATTTCTGTTTAGGTAGTCAAATTATCTAACTTGAGATTCATTCAGGCACTATTTTATTTATTTTTAACAGAGACAGATGGCTATAAGTTATTAAGTCATTATTCAATGGATCAAATATAAAAAAAAACTTGTTTTCAAACAGAAATGTCATTATTTTCTGCTTATTTGAGAAGAATATTGAAATGACTTCTTACTGGAACATAGAAATTTGGTATTCCAAGTGAGTAATCCTGTATTTCCAACCAAGATTGACTGTTTCTTTTCTCAATCTTTTTTTTTATGTGTGAAGTTCTCTGCTTTGTTCACTCATACTATAATACTGCTCATATATAAATCCATATTTGCACTTAGTCTAGGACCTACTTAAAATAACAAAACACTACTTATACAAATTGAGCACATGTAAATCCTTAATTATTTACATCCTCATTTAAGAGGTTTTCCCTCCCAATTCCATGCTCTTCTATTAGATTGTCATCAACTTCCACCTTACCATTCAAGTCATAAATCTGAAGATCATTAAGCTCTTTAAAACACAATCAATGGTTTTCAACCTACAGCATCTTTCTAAGGAGTGTTTAAAGTGTGTGAAGGCAAATCTCACTGCAACAAACACAAAAGTATAAATAGTTTTCAGCAGACTGAAGCCAGAAACTCTAAAATCCTGAAACGCACAAGATAATAATAAACAAAAAAATGATTCCTCCAAATGTCAATATGACCTATTTTAAAAGCAATGTGCTATCTATGCTGAGTCAATCTAAATTTTTTTCTTTTACTTTTGCAATATTTCTCATATTTGCTTCTTATGTTTGATCCTTAAAACCAGCTTCTATTTCAGAATCCCACAGGCTTTTGCCTGTTCTATTGCAATACTTCCCAAAATGTGTGGTTTACATCCGCTCAGCTATTTAATTAACAATTTTTAAAAGCATTACATGTTTCATGCATTGTTCTTGGCACTGAGAATAGAGTGAAAGCACCTACTTTTAAGTAACCGCATTCTTGAGAATGAAGATAAAATGAAGGAAAAGTAAAAAATAAATGTATGTATAAATAATCCAGAAAGTTCAAAGATATAAGATAAAAAATGAAACTATGATGTGGTTGGCAGCAACTGGAGAAATCAAAACAATATTGAATAGGATGGTTGGCAAAGGGAATAGCAATAATATCACATATTAGGTAGGAATTCAGGGACACCAAGATGGTGGAGGCAGGGTAAAAGAAAAATGCCACTGGTGGACAAGACACAGGGACAACAGTCATCATGTCCCTGTTTATAAAAAGTCCCATTACCATAACAACTACCACTGAAGACTTATCACTCATGATATCTCCTGCCACAGGTTTGGTATTCTAAAACGATCAATAGAGGTAAAGTGGACTGTATTCTAGTTATATTTTCTAAAGCAACCAATGGGGGAAAATTGAACGATATTCTTCTCAGTTATCATAGATAACCAATGGAATCAAATGGGGCAAGGTCTTCAATCCGGTCTGTGTAGGGAAGAGAATGATGCCTCACAGCTCAGCATATGAGATACTAATTTCCACGCATTGGGCCCTTGAGCCTGTCTTTTACTCCTCCCACAACCCCCACCACCACCTTATGGAGTGCTACTTTCATTTCCACCTTCCATAAATCGAAACTTTGCCTGTTACTTCTGAGTCTTGCTCAATTCTTTGTTTAGGACATCTAGGACCTTGACCCCAACAGGACATTTCAGCAATGAAAACATATACAAATAATTGTATTAAACAAACAGGAAACTATTTCAGTTGAAGTGAAATGATTAAGTCGGGGGCTAAAATGCAAAAAGGTTGATTAGATGGGCAGAAAGGAGATGTGACCAGCCCTTATGGACAGGATAACCATGAGTCCCATCACACTCAAAGAAGTTCACAATTAATGTTTACCTGTAATTATTAGCAGTGTCCTCTTTTACCCCCAGAAACTTTCACAAAATGTATTATATATTCCTTCTTTTTACAAAAAATACAGAAGATGGTGTATTCGTCAGCTTTTTCCCTGCTGTGACTAAATGGCCTGACAAGAACAATTGTAGAGGTGGCAAAGTTTATTTGGGAACTCACAGTTTCAGAGATTTCAGTCCACAGATGGTCGACTTCATTCCTCCGTGGCTCAAGGTGAGGCAGAACATCATGGTAGATGAGTGTGGCAGCGGGAAGAGGCTCACATAATAATCAGATAGCAGAGAGAGACTCTGTTCACTGGATACAAAATATATGCATCAAAGACATGCTCCCAGGGACCCACCTCCTCCAGCCACATCTTACCCACCTTCTGTTGCCAGGGGATTAATTCACTGATTGGATTAAGGTTTTCATATCCAAATCATTTCTCCTCTAAACTTTCTTGCATTAACTCACTCATAATCTTTGGGGGACACCTCACATCCAAAACATAGCAGACAGGCATATACTCTATATATGGAGTTAATAACTTTAAGGTTTTTAGGAATGGACTAGCAAGATCTAATTGAAATTTTAAAAAATATACTGATTACTATGGGGCACTTTATTGGTGAGGGATTGGAAAAGGAAAATTGGGAGAAGATGAAAAGATGTAAACTAATTAGAAGCAATTTTCTGCAGACCCAGTGAGAACTAGTAATGGAATAGACAATGTTGTGACAACAAATGAGGAGCTCAGTGAATGTAGGTACAATCTGTAGGTGACAATTACTGTCTACAGTTGTCTACACTCTTCCTCCACTTGAGTCCTGAGGCCAGAATAATGGTATTAGCTTTTCTTGAAATTCAAATAAAGGGCTAAAATATTCTTTGCTCTTTTTCTATTTTATTGGGGTCTTTACATTGGCAGCAGTATAATCTCCACAAGTTTCAGTTCAGTAGAAAAAAACATGGATACCTTTGTACCATTTGAACTGCATTTCCTTCTACATTCTAATTTTTATTTTATCATTACTAAGGTGGACCTACTATTCTATCGTGGCATGAATCTCAATGCTATAGACCCACTTTCCTTTGTCAGCTCTTCTTACCTGGAGATGCTTAAAGTCTATTCTTCCTTTATCTGACCATTCTTTGGATAGATTTTCTGGTGACATCACTGTTCACCAATTCACAAGATCCTCCAGGTTGTTAAATAGCAAGTTGTTAGGGAGAAGAAGTGCTATATTCTACCCCTATTGGAATTCTTGTGTGATAATTATTATGCAATTCTCAGACTTTTAGAATTTTAGTCCTGTACCCTTGTGCTCTAGTGAAATAATATAGGCAGAAACTCTTTTCCTAGTGACTCATTTTGCTGATTATCAGAAATGGCATAATTTTAATTATTTTGAATTCTGAATGGACTTTTCTTTGAATGTCAGCTTATGCTTAAATTAGGCCAATGGTAATTACAAGGTTACACTTTTATGATTTGCAGTTTGACTCAATTCCTCTACCACTCCCCCTCCATCACCTCATCTATAAAAATGTACTTTTTTATGGTCAACATTTCTCTTTTTAAATTTGAAATTCTATTGCCTATCTAGCATTTGGATATTTACTAGGCAAATCTAATGAATATTTGTACAATAAGTATTTGTTCTTAAAATATTCTAAAGTGTTGCTTTGGTATAACTCCTAAATATCAAATTTCATCTTTATTATTGGTATTTCTTCATCAATAAATATATAAATATATGTTAATGCAAAGAAGTGACTTTTAGAGCACTATTAGGATGCTGAAATTTTAAACCACAACTATTATATCATGCTTCCTTTGAAATAATCTAGCAATTAATACCTGATTCATTTAATGTATACAATAGAAAACTTTATTAGCCAGAAATTTACATGGTTGCTTTATTTCTAGGAAATTATACTACTATTCTTCTTATGACTTTTTTATTTATCCTAATATTTTGTTATGTCTTCCTGAAAGCATTTAATTGATCATTGTGTCAAATGTGTGTCTGTGTGTATGTTGTGTGTGTGTGTGTGTATATATATATATATATATATATATATTCAACAAAATATTATAGCACCAAAAACCAAAAACTCCAATTATTTATTTCATTACCACTTTTATTAGTATAATCAAGTCAACATGAAAGTTTTACTACTCTACTCAGCATATAAAAATGAAAAAACTGAATATTTTTGGAAATATGTTTACTGGGATGAATGGAGCTGTTTGATTTTGTTTGCTTCCAAATCCTTCCTATATTCCTGAGGATTATTACTTTTGTTACAAGTAATGCTTTGTTTTTATAGGCATAACCTCTGAGAAGCCTTGGTAACATAAAATATTTAATGGAAATAGAAGAAGATTTAATGTTCATACATTCAAGATTTAATGTTCATACATCCAACTATTCAAACTCATTTCAAATTACAAAGCCATATTTAATTGATTGTTTACTATCATAAAATATGATCAGTGATCTAATAACTGATAACTAGATTAAGCACCTTTTTAATTAGTTGAAATAAAAGGAAAAGAAACTGTCTAATATGCAATATGATCGATTTTTCTGTCATTAGATATATCTACTTGTTCAATTTCTTGAAATTTTGCCAAACTACTAACGAGTCTCATCACATAAGTAATTTTATCTATTATATTTTCATATAAAGAATGATTATTTTATCATGTTTTCAAATCAATAAAAACAAAATGAAAACTATGATGCTACTATGTGTGATAATATAATTTTCAATGAAATGCTCTTTTTAACATCTTAAATATTTTAACTGTCAAAATCATATAATTGCATCCTTATATATATATGTTCTATTTATTGAAGTTTTTCATGATACTACAATGTAGCAAAATCAGTACTTATATTCTAGACAATTGGCTAAATCACATTTAATATTTTAAAAAATGTTTGTTTTCATTTTTCAAGATGAATAACATGTTAATACATATTTAAGAAATATTTTAAAAAGAGTACAAATATAAATTATAAAATATACTTTTTTTTTCCATACTGGTGATTGAACTCGGGGCACTCAACCACTGAGCCACATCCCCAGCTCTATTTTGTATTTTATTTAGAGACAAGGTCTCACTGACTTGCTTAGTACCTCACCATTGCTTAGGATGTCTTTGAACTCAGGATCCTCCTGTCTCAGCCTCCCAAGCCACTAGGATTATAGGCATGCGCCATCATGCCCAGTGTTATAAATCATACTTTTAACATAAACTATTAAACTTAGTAATGGAATGGTCAACATCAGTTTTAGTTAATATTAATTTGTGCTTGTTCACAATAAATTATAAATATGATGATGAAATAATTATCACCTAAATAGAAATAAATCTAAGATGAAGTTAAAAATTATAATTGTTACTAACATTCACAATGCTCTATATTCAACTCCCAGCATCACAAAAAAATTGTTATTTATGAAGGGTGATGTACAAAGAATAGAATGTTCAAGTTACATGATGCAATGTATGCAGAAGTCTGATGTTCATAGTATATTAATCTGCATATTAAACAAGAATATAAAATAAAAACCCACTCATTTTATTTTCATAATCATTTCTTTTTATTAATGAAATATAAAATTATATATTGACAAAATCACATGAAATAACAGTTACTATTCTAAATACAAAATATTTACTATAATGAGAGAAGCACTAAAATTAGAAAAAACTGTAATTGGAAGAAATATTTCATGAAACTTTTTTTATACCTAATAAATGCCAGTTTCATTAAAATTTCAACCATTTATAGGAAAGATATCGCATTTTTAAATTTAGTGTATCCAGAAATTTTGATTGTCCTGGAAAGTATATCAGGGACATTTAAAAAATTCAACATTATAGACACGTTTAACTTTTTCTTTTTGGCCACTCTCACATCAAAATAGTGAGTCATAAGAAAACTCGAAACTTTTCTTATCTTTAAGTTCTGCTTAATTTCTTTTGACATTTTAAAAATGTATTATTATAACTGTCTTCCTCTGAAGCCATGTGTGTTTGATAATAACCATTGAATGAAGAGGAAAAAAACAGTTTGATCAACTTTTATATAATAAATTTGAATTTATAATAATATACATAAGGGCCAAATGCTCTGTTTCTAAAGCCTCATTAATTCAACAAAAAATATATATGAAACCAGGCAGAAATGTTTTATGATATAAAAAATTATAAAGGAGGCTTCAACAAGAAACAATAATTCTAAGAGATACCTCTTTTTTTTTTTTTTTTCAATTCCAGGTACAGTACACCTTGGAGCACACATCACAATAAAATTCAGACAGCAAGAGGATACTCTTCTTTTGTAAAATAGGAGATACTAGATAATTGAATGTGGGTACAGAGAATCTATAGACCTTATTAGGCAATTCTCAGGTGGATTAATTTTAATAAAGAGAACATAAGAAGATTACAACTATAGAAATTAATTTATAACACTATGTATTTTCCTGCCATTAACCTTGGAACAGCTTCTGGTATCACATTTTAAAGACTGGGCTATCAAAAGTTTCAGCTGTCAATTTAACTAAATTGGTCAAAACTTGAATAGGTATTAGCTAGTATATTGTTATATCCCATATTATTATTGAGGTCCAGAGCAGCTGGGAAATATATTGAAAACTTAATTCTTTAGCAGATATCTTATTTCCCACTATAGGTAGTATTTTTGGATTTCCTTACAGAATGTTTGATAATGTTTAATTGAACAGAAGTATGTAAATAAGTATTCACTATATAATAACTACATTTAGTTTTCTTATTCAGTAAATTATTTTGATTATTTATTATATTTATTATATATCAGTCTTTATGTTAGCCCCTAAAGATTAAAAGAAGTCTTCAATTCCTTCCTCAAGTAGTTCATAGTATATTAGCAGAAGATAGATAAGTGGATACTGTTAATGCAAGGTAATGGTTGTTTAAATAAGGCTAGCAGAAAGATCACTGAAATGATACAAATTCCAATTTTCAATTTTTAAAGGCTTTTTGGAGGAAAAAGATACAATTCAGTCTCTGAATTATAAGAATTTGTAGACAAGCAGTTGGAAAATATAAGCAAACTGCTAATGAAATAAAGATTGCATAAGATCACACTGGTGTATTTTATACAGATGTCCCATGTTGTTCTGACTCATTTCAACCTACTTTTTTCAGTAGCATCTCTTATCCAAAATTATGACATCATCGCAAGCTTCAAAATTCTGTAAGGTTTTTCCTAGTTTCATATTAAATATTGCTTATTTCACTTGATGATCCTCAAAATGATAATTTTCTCTAGGTTATAACATTTTCTTTCTATTGGATATTGTATTATTTATTAGAAATGACCCTTTCTGAATATATATATACACACACACAATATTTCTCATGTGTCCATAAATAAGTTTTGAATATATAATGTGTTATAATATGTGCTAAGATCCATGGTTGAGTGCTTGGAATCAAAGATGATTAGGAAGACAGTGCAGAGCAACGCTTTTATAAAGAATGAAAGAGTTGTTAACATGAATTTAGTGCCAACCATGTGATAAGAAAACAGTTTTTTTTTTTTTATATTTTATGTCTTCTTAACAGCATTCCTATGAGGAAAATATTATTAATCATGTGTTTGCTACCTGAGAAAACAGAAACTTTAATAAGAGTTTTAGTTATTTACTCAGAGTCTTGCAAATAGAAAACAGTGGAATTGGAATTCAGAATTATGTTCACCATTATTATTGTGCTAAAATGGACCAACTCTATTGAATTACCTTGAAATATGTAATGCAGGGGAGAAAAAGTAATTTTCCCTCTACCCTTCTGAGTTCTTAACAGGGATACCTGTAACAAGAGACAGAAAAACAATAAAAATATGAAGAGAAGTTTACCAAAATATATGTTATATACATCAGAGATGCCCATGACATGAGTCATATTCAAAGGGGTGGCTTAGAACTCTGGCTTATACAGTGTCTTCAACAAACACAATTTTAGAGAAGTGACAAGTAAAAGGAAGAGGAACCTGTGTGTATAGGGGTAGCAAATTATGGAAAGACAACTAAATGACAAGCTAATGGCACATGGAGCCAGACAAATTCCTCCTCTGCAGTCTTCAGAATCTACAGTCATATATGTGTCTTGGCTGGTGGAGAGGGGAGGAAGAAGGTCACCATTGAAAATTCATGTCCTGTTTCTGGGCAAATTGGAGCCTCTCTTGTATTTGCACTTTCTCAATTGTTTTTAGCTGAAAATAGTCTCTTTGACAAAATGGCATAATTTGAAGTAGCATATTTCACTACTCTTTGATATTAAATTTTTGTGTATATTAATGTGCTTAAATTTTGATATATTTTATTTCTGTATATATATGATTTATACATATGGAATTTAAAGAAGATATTTAGCATTTAATCTAAGTTCTAACTTCTTAATTGAAATATATAAAGTTGCTTGATTGATTCAAGATAAGAGGACAGTTTATTATAGTGATTTGTATCATATAGTCAGATGCAGGCACATAGAGATGTATATTAGAGGAAACATAATTTTTATCAATTTATTTTAAATATACATCTTTTACATTGCCTTTTTACTCTTGGATAATTTGGAATAAACTAAAGTATATAATTGATACTTCTGAAGCTACCCAAGTTTGAAACAAAGACATTTTAAAGCCTGACATAAATGACTTAAAATTTAGTGCAAATCTACAATTACTGGGGATAAAGCCATGAACATCTTTGGCGAAGATTACCTTCACTCCACTTTTTTTCTTCAAATGTAAAGTAAGAACTATAGAAGTTGCTCCCTGCCTAGCTCACAGGATTGACACAAAAGTTAACATGACAATATATTTGCAAAGTATTTTACAAACAATAGTATGCTGTGAAATTCTTATTTTCATCTCCACTGTTATGATTAATTATGGAATTTTCAAATGATCAAAGAAATTGATGAGTGTGGACAGGCTCAAGATGAGGTATCAAGCTTGCCTTCAAATGATATATGTTAATAGCAGCAATCAGGAGGAAGAGAAAGAGATGCAAGTGATACGTTAGTTTCATTTTCATTCCCCTATCAGTTAATATAAAAATTAGTCTTAAAGAGAACACTATATTTATTTGGGCAGAATAGACTTTGGAGACCGGATAATTAACAGGCAAAGTCGACAGTTTAAAGATAGCAGTTCTACTGCCTTCCAGGAATTATGGATCCCATTCACTACAAATATTTTGTTTTCATGGATAGTGGAATCAGGTGAGGTTTATAATTTTGAAGTTACTGACATAACAATGCAATGCTTTGCATAGAATGGGTAAGAAATACGGATTTCTATGGCATAAGAAATAGAAAGAAAGGAAGGGTTGGGGAGAGTTTGAGAAAAGAGAATCCAAAATCTTGGTATGATCAAAAAGTAACTTTTGATAACTGAAATACTTGGGATGGTCTATGGTTAAAAAAAAAGAAAGAAAGAAAGAAATCTCCTTCGCCAAAGATATTCATGCCTTTATCCCCAGAACTTCTAAATAGATTATGTTATGTTGTTATGGGTTATGTTTGCAAATGGATTCAAGTTGCAAATGAAAATAAGATTGTGGGTTGACTGATCTGAAAAAAGGAAGATAATCTTGGATTACCTGGTCGAGTCTAACGGAATCACAAGGGCCCTACCTGGTAAGACTTGAGAGATTCAGAAGCATCAAAAAGAAAGGGATACAAGGAAAGAATGTGACCTTCCCATTAGCTTTGCAAATAGAGAAAGAAGGCCATGAGTGTAGAGGTACAGGGATCCTCTTGAAGCTGGAAACTGCCCTCAGAACATAGCCACCAAAAAAGCAAGAAATGAATTCTGTCAACCACCCAAATGAGCAAGAAAATGCTCACCAAGAGCATCCACAAAGGAATACAAACTGCCCCCAAAACCTTTAATTTAAGCACAATGAAACTCTATAGCAGATTTCTGACCTACAGAGGTACTAAATAATATATTTGTGTTGTTTTAAGTCATTAAGTTTGTTGTAACTTGCTATGGAAGCAATAGAAAGTTAATACTTGGTCTTTTTAGTAGAATGAAGAGCACTCTGTAATGTAAGTCTTTCATGCATTTCTCAAATGAAGACTATGAAAAAATAAAAATATAAAAAATTATCACAAATATTTATCTCAATAGTAAATGCATGCTGTTTATTTTTACCATATTTTAAAATTATTTATTATACAATCAAAACTATCTGAATTGATCCATATCCATTCTTCATATGATGCACATTAATTTACAAAATGAATATTTTTTCACTGAAGAATAAATAAAAACATATTATAGCTATTCAATGAAATACAACATTAGATGATGTTAGACATGATTAGTATTTAAGATGCACAATCACATTTAGAATCTTATAAAACTGTATACATAAATAAATCCTTTGAAATAGTGTAAGAAAATTAGAAATTAAGAAATGAATGATCATGTTACTAAAAAATTATGATATTTATTTTAAGTATATTAATAAATTTAGCAATGATTGTAGGACAAAATTAAAAATAATACACAATAATCTATTTTCTTAACTAGGCTTACATGAATTTGAGTATTTGATCTTAAAAGGATCACTTCCTTTTTATTATAAGGCACTAACTTTGTATAATTCACTAAAAAAGTGATTTTCTAATTAAAATAACAGCTCAACTCTTCTTGCCACCTTGAGTTTTGTCCGACTTTGTGTTCAAATTCATTTTAGAGGAGTTATGAAAGGTCATTTGCCCACAGACTTCACAGTGTCTCACTTCTAACACAATCCATTGAAGTGAGCATCTTCAAAATTTAATCTTATATTTGAGGTCTCATCAAAAGAAAATGATATCAAATCTTGTCTTATACTTCTTATTAGGACCTTTATTCTCCTGAACATGGGAAAGGGATTGATTCACAGTTGCATCTAACTTCCATCAGTGACAATTCTGGCTTGGTAGATTATGGCCAACAATTTTGTCTTTCTAAAGAAAAATGACACACTGAGTGAAATCGTTTAAAAAGTTAACTACCCTGTCTTCTGATCAGTTGCATGCTTTACCTGACTTAAATATACGGCTAGGTTTTTAAAAACCTACATTATCTTTTAGTTTATCATCTCTTTCTTTTTCTTTTTCTTTTTTTTTTTTTGTGGTGTCTTGCTTTCACTTGGAATTAAAAAAAAACATACTTGTATTATTTCAATCTTAGAAGCAACCAATGAATCTGTGAAGTCTTTTGTTCTTATGAATATTTAAAATCCACATAAGGGAAAAGTTAGGAAGACATAAACTATAAATCAGCATAATCAAGAGTTGTTTCTTTTGCTGGTTATGGAAGTGGGAATGAAAGGTTTTTTAAATGTGAATCCTACTTAAGCATATCACTTCCCAAATGGAATAATGATTTAAAGACGTATGTGTGTGTGTGTGTGTGTGTGTGTGTATGTGTGTTAGAGTTGAGGGTGATGAATAAAAAAGAAACCTACAAGAAAATTTTTTCAGAAGAAAATTATGGACAGTTTTATTTTTAACTATGTAATTATTAGGCAGAAAAATTAAAGAACAGAAATAAAAACATGTTAAATACATCCTTACTTACATTGGAAATGCAAAGATAGTTTATCTTGATTTCCTAGAGCAAAGCAATTTCTTGGACTATGCTAATTATTGTTTGAATTCAAACATTTCACGGATATTTCCAAAATTCATAGAGTTAAGCATTTCAATAAAGACATAAGGAGTAATGTGGCAAATGTGCATATTGCTTATACTTTTTCTTTTGTTTCCTGTAGAGAATGTCATTTCAAAGGAAACATGAGAAATTGAAGTTTTTTTCAATGAAAATTCTTTGGAGAGAAGCAACTTTACAACATATTAAGTTTCTTACTAAGTTTAAGTACTCTTCTTTGTCAAATTGTAAAAACCAACAATAAAAATGAATTAAAGTAATCATAAAATTCTAAAGATATTATTATAAGTACAAACAGAATTTGAATAAAATCTCAATCATAAAATAAATGCTACATAAATTCACTTGGGTGAGTTTCCAGCATTAATTTTCTTGCAAAATGCCTAAAAAGGAAACTGTAATGAATCATACAGTGTTTTTCTTCTTTACATCTCAAGCATAAATACCGTTTGTTAGCATTCCATCTAAAGAATTGAAATTTCAATCATTTAAGTTGTTCAAGACTCTCAAACACTTTAAAAAAAAATTAAGCAGAGAAGTATTAGAATCTGAAATGCTTACTCATTTTCTCTTGCAAAGCTCATTGCCAAAATGTTTCCATGGGAACTAAATGCAACTCCTTAAATACAGAATATGTCTTATTTAATTCTCCTATGGTTCCATCTGAGATCAGGTATTATCAGAAAAACAATAACTTAAGTTGTTTTCCCATAAAATAATACAGTTTGATGACTTTTGAGTTTAGTTGTTGAATTTTAAATTCACTACTCAGCATTTTTCTTTCTGCTTAAATTATTCTTGAATCAGATGATGAATATTCCACTGCCTTGATATTTACATTGGGATAAATTTCATCCAGAAAAAAATGAAAATGTCAGAATAGTATTTGTGCAAGTCTTTCTTCCCCAACCACTTGTGTGTGAATACCTATGCAAATACATGAATATATACATTAATGCATAGATATACTTGATACAATTACATGATTTATCATTATAATCTTCAAACATCAAAAAGCTTTGCACAAAGGACCTTGACTGTGACCAACAGTCATGCCATGTAGTTAGAATTGTCCTAAGAAAGTGCTGAACTGCAGGCACATCCATTGTTCTCTTGGAGGGTTCTTTAGCCATAGATCAA